GAGAAAGGGAGAAAAAACAGCACAGAAAAATCAATCTACATTTCATTCAGTGACAGCCTTACAGGCAGTTAAAGGCACTTGACATAAGACTCGCATGATGATAGATATAAAACTACCAGCAGCTATCCTACAATTAAATAAATTAAAGACATCTCAGAATTCTTCACTATCTTATCCTACTGGGGGGGGGGAGAGGGAGGGAGAGATAAATTATGCTGAAAGTCCCAAGGCTGATGCTTAAAACAGCTAATAGAAATGTTGCTAAACGTGGAAAAAAGCCAGTTTTCATACTAGTTTTGATTGAGACAAGTTGGTCAATAAATTTCCTCTCTCACTTTTTTCCCCTTCTCACGATGATGTCCCAGCAATGTGACAGCAGTAATACATATGAACAGTAAACCACATGGGAGATATGATTTAACATGGAATTTTTCATACTCAAGGAAGCAGAAGACATTGACACTATCCATATAGAGTTACTAATCAAAATTACCATATGCATTCTTAGGCTACAGAACAGCTTGATTTACTCATGGATTCAGGCTTATCCTGTCCTGGATAGAATCTTTCCTTCCTATAGAGTAAAGATTTTTTTGGAAGCACCCAACTAGAAAATGTAGTGAAAATGCCTGAAGAAACCCCATGGAAATACAAAGTGAAACATTTCAAAACAAAAATAAAACAGCAGCTCAATTAAAATGTGTAATTTCTCCACATAAAGGCAATTTGTGGAAAAACGTTTCTTTTGTACTCATGGCTGCATGGTGCAGTGAGAAAACAAAATTCTGCTGCATCCCTTAAATGCTGATGTGTATTAAAGGATAAGAGCCCTTCAGCCATTATATTTCACCCTGATTTCTGCTCCTTATCATCCCAGTTCCTAAGGAGGACAAGGATCTCAGGGTGAAGGAAAAGCAAGGAAGGCCAGGTTTCACCCATTCAGTCTACTTCTCCTCCTCAGGAAAGCCGAGGGCAACTCTTCCTCAGCAAGTACTGCTGCTAGTCTGCCCTGGCCACAGCAGAAATCCACAAGGGTAGTTCATATGCTTAATTTAAAAGGGTAGTAATTTCTGGTTGTAAAATATCATGCAACTGAAGGCTCACAGTTACTTAAAAACCACAACTCCTTAGCCACTCACAAAAGCAAATAGAGACTCTGGCTTTAAGCCAGAACAATAAATATGTCCTGGATTTGGGTTTCTGCTGGAAGACTGAGGAACATACGGAGAGGCAGACAATAGTTTGATTATTTTTCTGTTGAAACTGTGAATGCTTTTGCTTATGTGTTTATGATGGCCTACACACTGTGGAGTTAGCACCAAAAAAAAAGGCATGCACCAACCAGGCTTCCGACTTCTGATGCACAGACACCTAAGATCTGGTCACTTTTGGGCTAAAAGAAACATCAGGCACAGGAAAGAGTACATATTAGCCTAGTGGAAGCAGAGTTTGAACACAGCACTGCAAAAATTTGGAGAAGCAAGTTTAGGGAAGAGGGGGACGTGGAAACAAACTGGGAAGGTAACTGGCCTGCAAGACAAAAATGGTAGAATAAGCCGGTCATTTTAAAGTGTGGAGTGGGGGTTTAAGATATGGCCAGAGACTACAGGAGCATGCTACTTAATCTTAAATGAAACACTAAATTATAATAAACATTTATCCTCCGCTACAATTTATCATTAAAGCCATAGCAAGCTGGGTGGGAATGTGCTTTTGTGATTAAGGTTGCAAAGGAAATTACTGGAGGAAAAAGAGAGAAACATCTCATTGTGACATGGGTCAAGGAAGTCCCAGTCCCCTCTTCGTTTACCACCAAGCCCTGCAAGGAAGAGCTCAGAGATGGGTTGTGGCTTCGGCTTCTTCCAGATGCTCATGCAGGGAGCAATGCAGGAGGGATGGCTGAGGGAGAGCTCACAACAAACTTGTCACCACGCAACTCCTTTTCTGGGAACTAAATAAACACTCCTGGTATATATTAAGGATGTTTTCAGGGCATGCACTTACTAGCCTTGCTTCCCCACACATTTAGAAGGACTGAATTAACAACTCATTTGGGGACGGAGGCTACGTAACTAAGAAAGACATTACAGCTCAGTCTCTTTTTCTTATCATGCAAGTCTCAGAAGGCTTTTGGAAGAAAGGAGACATTCTCTTTTTCATGTCTGTTAAAGCACAAATGGAGTTTGTTTTGTTTTCCTTAGAATTTGGATATCTTTGATTATTCTCTTAGCTTGACATGAAATGGTAATCGCACAGCAGCATGAAGGAAATGGGCATTTTCTGTTCAGACAGAGACTGAGTAGCATGAGCTGCAGCAGCCATACCCCTATCTCCACTAATATCATATTCTTTAGCCACATGTGTCCACACCAAACAGCAACAGATGGTGCTGACAAATTTAAATCCCTCAAGGCAGACATAACAAGTGTCTAAGAAACACACCTGGACAGAAATAAATATTTAAAACTACAAAAACATTTCAGCACAGAAGTGTACTACTTTGTAGTATACAAAAGCAGAGATTAACAAATAGCAATTCCTACTTTAGCAAGCACTTACACTTTGCCTCCTGCTCACTTGCTACTGCATACTATGTGGAAGGGATGATAAATGAGACCTGTACCACCATCATGAATATTCATGTTCCCAAAAGAGATCATTGCTTCTGGTTTTTTTCTTTAGGAGAATTACTCTTCCTTGATGCTAACATCCAAGAAATCATTGCAGGGAATGGTAATTTCAACACTTCTTTAGGATGAGAAGGACCACAGACTAAAACTGCTCAACTTCTGATACACCAAGGAAGTTGATGAGGTTTAGTATAACACCACAGAGGGCACAGAACAGCCCTTGATTGGACACTGAAGTTTAATTCCAGCATTATCATCTTTCTTTTGTTCACTGAAGCCCCAGACAGGAAATACATGAAGGTTTTTCAATATAGGATATCTTAAGACCTCACTCCTCTAATGAAGAGTTGCATGGAGGCAAGTTTTCCATAACTTACCTTGCATGACAGCAAAATATGTATATGGACACTTACATCTGTAATTGAAAGATAAGCCCAGAGTTAATGGCATAGCCACCAAGGTGACCCAAGGGGCCTCTGACAACGCAATTAAAGTAGATTTGTAAGAAAGGAACATGAAGTCATTGTGACAATCTAGGAGAGAAATATTAGCTAGCTGCAGATGATACATGTTGAAAAACAGAAACCCTATTGTTTTGAGTCAGCTCATCACTGCCAGAGGGCAGCTGAAATATTCACTCAGCAAACACAGAGTGTTTTATAAAATTAGCTAAAAGGAGACTTTTTGCTGAGGGAAATAAACCAGAAATGGTTTGGAGAGATTTCTGAGAAAAAGCGTCCAACAGCAGGTAATTAGAAAGACTGGGACTGAAGAGGGGATTACTCAAAAGGCAAGGGAGATTAAACAAGTTTTCTTGTCAGTTTATAAAAAGTCCCACTCCTATTTCATAAATTATTTCCTAAATCAGGTCCACCACACAAGTTTCACTCAGGAGCAGATGGTTCATCTGCTAGCCCTGATAACGTGGTAAGAAGTTGAGGCAGGAAGCCTAGCAAAGTACTCAGCCCTGCCTGATGGCTTTGCTCATAAAGTTTACAATGTTTTAAATTAAGGGATGTTTCATCTGTGGCTCATGACTTTCCAGTTTCTCTTGCAAAAGAATCCTCTCCAATTTCTAAACACAGGAAGGATTCCTGCAAGGCATCCACGAGTTCTGAAGCTTTTTGTCTCTCATAAGCCTATAATGAGGTGGATTTGTGAAATTGAAGGTTTGACAAGTCCCAGAGCGCGAGATGTATTTCCCATTTCATTTTGGTGGTCACCACAAGCTCCAATCTAGGGATGACTTGGAAAGGCTTGTGAATTTCATGCTTTCTTTTTGCTAAAACCATGTTTCCGATATACCTTCAATGATGAACATACACAAATGTATTTCTGAGTGTATTTGCAGGTGGTATTTCTCTTTCGAGTATCAAGTGCATTAGACTCAGCAGTGAACCTCACTTCTTGGATGACATCTCAACAAAGAGCTTGGAAAAATAAATAGCTTGCTTTCTACTGAGGAGGGAATAATGTATTTTCAATTTTGACATCCTTCCTGTTTTCGATCCCTTCAGAAAGGAAAAGAGATAGGCTACTGGAACTGAGAGATACGGGATCCATATGAAAAGTTTGCAATGAGCACCATTTTGATTTGTTACTCTGCACTGCTCTTACTTATTTTACTTTAAGTAATCAAGCCATTTTTTATGGGATATATTTGGCAGAAATTGGTAAAAGTAGCAATTACAAAAATTGGTAAAAAGAGCGTCAAAATTCATGTATAAATGACTGACAAAGGCAATACCATGCATTCTTGGCAACCCACTGGGTTTTATTGTAACTGGTTACTCCCCTCACCTGCTTTTGATGAAGACAGAACAATAATAGTTTGTTCTCTGGTGAAAGAGAACTGAAAGATGATGAACTTGCTGCCAGGAATAAATCACCTATTTTTGTATTACTTTGTCCTCCCCATATTTTTGCATAGAGAAAGAATCTAAAAGATTTTACTGTATGTTGTGACATAACAGAGGCTTGTACAGGGCTTTGATTTTCCAACAATGCAGCATTACCATACTTTCCAGTCACATTCATTCAACAAAGAATTTCTTTAGTATGGACTGTAGACAGATTGATATTGAGCAGCAGGTATCATCAAGCATAGACAGTGGTAATTCTGCATATTTTATATACACTGAGAACCCTCAGGACAGTTTGAGCTGGAATCGGCAGAGTTTCCTGTCAGGTGAGTGATACATGGTGATAACTCAGCTTTTGCAGCTATTTTACCCTCTATATATATTTCAGGATGGTATTTACAGGACCATAAAAGTAAGCTACATGAAGCTGGGATGTTTCATAACATATAATTATTTCCAGGATCAAATCCTATGACTTGGAGGAATGCAAGAGAAGCACAAGCTCATTGACAAAAGACCTGCAAATGTTTCTGTATTTGCAGTCAAGAAGCTCTCTTAGGAGGGGGGAAAAAAAGGCAAGTAAAAAATTAAAATCTCTTGCAGAACAGAAACATCACTCGCAAATGTTTCACCTAGTGCAAATCAAATCAAGTAATGTACATGAAGAATAAACATATTTAGAGGGAAGACAAATGAATGAACAGAGTATCTTGACTAGCAATTAGTTTCTGTGCCCAAGTACCATCAGTGAAAAATTGATGAGCAAGGTAACCTTTGGCTGCACTTTAGCAAGTTCTTCATTAGTTTTCTGGCTTTCCTTTTCAAATGTTTTATTTCATCACAGACACACTGAGAAAAATAATCCATCCAGCTTGCACCACCAACGTATACCATGCTGTGCTATCAGCCGATGTTCTTCTAACTGAAAATGGTACCTTTTCCTCCAAGCCTGTCTTCCAACAAGAGAAGACAAAGGAAGAAAAAGTTTTCTTCCCTTCTTTTCACAGATGAGAAAACCAGATCACTCGGATTAAATAACTGAAGGTCATCCTGGAGGGCAATGGTTTTGAATTGAATCAGTTTGAATAGAAATCAGTAACAAACTTATTTGTGCCTTTGGAAATTCCTCTTGACATGCCTAGAAATAGAGGAGGGACATTCAAGTTCCTGGGGGGATAAAAGGTGATGAGACAATTGGAGTTGTCAGATGAAGCTAGGTACGCTATGATATTATCCGTTGGTAGACTGCTCCAGTCTGTAATTGGTTGAGAGGCCTCCTTTGAACATTTGTCTGACATTAGTGCTACTCAAGGCACTGAAGTGTAAGTGCTCATCGATGGGAATGTACATGCCCTGTTTGTTAATGTTCTGCACAAGAGAATTATCCGGGAGAATAGGGAATGTTATAGATCTGTCATTCGTATACAACCTAGAATTTAATTTAAGCTTTACTTCAGACATTTTCTTTCCACATATTTTCTTCTTCATTTCACTTCTGTTGTATCATGTATCTCTATTTCTTACAGATTTGTGCTGCTGAGCCAAACTATAATGATGAAAGCTGCAAAGGAATGCAATGTTCTTTGGCATTATTGCACTACCTGCAGCACTACTTTGAAATAAAATGTCACAATTCAAGGTATGATGGAGTGACTTTTCAGTTACTGAAGTCCTTTAAAAGAGTGGGTCTGATCTATTTCTTTAATTCCTCCAGGAAAAAATGGTCATAGGTGATGGGCAACAGCACATTGGAGGAAGCAGAGATAGAGGATTAAGAGCCAATCCCAGTGCATGGAGAGTCAGCCATCACAACTGGAACAAGCTGGGGTGCAAGAAAGGCAGCCTCAGTGACAGACGCAATGTGTGCCTCTCCCAGCTAAATTCTAGCCTGAATTTTATGGAATATAAAACTGTTCCTCACTGGTCAACAGGGGAACTGCAAGTAAATACATCTGCTATGCTGTACTGGGTAGTGTAGGGCATCTTTTGCTATTTAGGATTAAGAAATGGTCAGACTGCTGAAGTGTTCAGCACATATTTATAGCCTTGCTTCAAAGTCCAAGTTTTAACATTCTTTTCAGTCTTTACTGCATAATCTTCTGCCCTCCATTCAAAAACTGCCTCAGAGAAAAGCAAGTATGGTTATATAGTTGCAATATATTTTGAATTGTCTTCTGCTCTTGGATTCAAACCAGCAGTAAAATGCACTCCGGGAGGAGAGCTGAGGAGTACTTAATTAGGGCAAGAATG